ATTGAGCGATTTTGTTTAACAAATTAGTTTGGCAGCTTGGGTGAGCAAATGGCAAAGAGTTTTTTTCTTAATCTAAATAACTCGTTGGAGAAAGCTGGTAGTGGCTTATGGAGCCGAAGAAAACTACTGCTTTCTTATGATAGGCTTTATTGGGATTTTATCGCCACAAAAACCGGCTTAAAGCTGCTTGTTCTTTTGGTGATGTTTTTTTTCCTTCGCCGACGCAGTGAAATGAAATGGAAAGCAACAGAAACCTTAGTGTGCGCGAAATTAATCATTATCAAATAGTGTGTTATCGAATCGATGCACTTCACAAAGGGTACCGATATTTACTCGTTTTTGCCTTTCTTCCGATGGATTAAAATAGCAAAAAAATTAATGAAATGTTAGGAAAAATTTCAGACTTCAATGATGCTTAATTGCGAGGTTTTTCTGGCACTCGGCTAAAATTAAGAAGTTAGTTTTCCGAAAATTTTAGGGTTGAAATATTGTCGGCATGCTTATAGAATCCTTACTAAGATTAGTCACTAATTTTACCATAAATTTTTTGATGTGGCGTTCGTTTCCCAAGTGCTTCCTTTCGGCAGAACTCTCTTGGTCCAGGGCCGCTTGATTGTCTTCCTTCGCTAAACAAACAGTGCAAAGTTTCTCAAGAAATTGTCTGTTTTGAATGCATTTTGCGGTTTCAAGCTACATGATGTCAACTTTTCGCCAGGCTGCGCGCACGAAACTTATGTTAAACTGAAATATCTTTTGTTCGGTGTTCTTGCTTGTTATTTTTAAAATGGGTGGTAAAAACTATTCAGTGGAGCCTATGAAATTTTAATGACCTCGGTTATCTTATGAATGGCGTTTTACTTTTGTAAAAGAGAAGCAATTTTCTCCAACCCGAAGCGGGCTGTTTTAATAAGCACTCGCTTTGTGCTGTGTTTCATTTATCTTGCCGGTTCCCCTTAGCCAGACTGATGCTTTTCTACTCTCGCACGATGTTCTTTAGAATTCTTTGAGACATTTTCACACTTTAAGTACCCATAAGCTTTCTGAGGATACTCGACGATACAACAGCGCTTAACGACTCTTTGAGATGTTGTTTCATCTAAGCCATATCTAAGTGATCGCTGTGTTGTTGCTTTAGTAAAAATGATGAAAACAGAAAGCCCATCACTTAGGAAAAGAAAACAAAGACGTAAGGTTTTTCTTGTGATTAAGCGAACTCATAATTTTCGCACAAATTGGTAACATTTTGTTGACGTAAACCTTTAGATGTATTGTGTTATAACTCACGCTTTTTGTCCTTCTCTCGCTATTTGAATCTCAGATCTCAGATATTTCTTTTTCATACTTTTTGATATTTGTTTACCGTCAGCACTTAGCGTAAATTTTCCACTGATCACGGTTTCTTTTGAAACACTATCCTCAAATGTGACGAATCCGTTTTTCGCAGCACCTATTTCCTAAGTCAATGTTTTGATACGGGTGTAAGGAAATTAGAAGTTGGCCTTTATTGGGCATCGTACGAACAAAACAACCCCAATTTTGTTCACCACCAGTACTTAGACATGTACGACCAGTGTCACCTCATTTAACGATTGGTTGTATTTAACTCGGTTCAAAGCGCACGTAATATAGTTCAATTTAGCCATTTTATTTTACTAATTTCTAAACTGCTATCACTTTATTTTTCACGCTTTTACTAGTTTTAAAACTGTGAACGAGAGCGGCAAAAACTTGTCCGATCATACATTACAAGCTATTAAGTTTAGCTAGGGACTCGACCATTCATCTCTGAGTCAAGACTTAAATATTGGTCTAAAATTCAGGTGTTACACCTGGTCTTTTCCACCTCGCCCCGTGGCACCAGCTTAAAAGACGTTTGACGCAATCCATCAATCCTTGATGGCTAATTGAAGGATTAATAAAAGGAAAACGTCAATGTGCTGCTTTTACGCCGCACAGTGATCTGAACTCAGAGGAAAACATGCCCGTTGTCCATAGTTCTTTGGTTATCTAGATATTTCGCTTTAAGAATTTCAGTTTCATATTGAATGTTAAGAGAAGCTGAACTTATTCCTTGCCAAAAACGGCACGAACGTGACTCTGCATTCTGAGGTTAATTTCGGAGGGCGTAGCTGAACAATATAGCACAACCGCAACCACAACATAAACTTCCGCAATGTGGTGCGGAAAGGAAGCACTTGAACACGTATCAGAAGTTTCGTGACCCGGTGTACATTATTAGGGCTCTGTATGAAAGAAAAAATATTTTCCCTAATACCTTATTGCGGTTAAAAATGTCTGAGTGTCTCACGTTATCTTCGCGGAAACGAGGATCGGAAGCCGGAGAAAGTTGCATCGCGGAATCGGAAAACTGACAGAAGTCTAGGAAACTACTGTCTCGGAAAAGGAATGCTTCTTACCGCGATACCGTTAAGTAAAAAGGAGAAGAAACACTTTTGTTGAAAAAGAATATATATACATTTCTAAAACTACGTCTAATACTTATAATCCTTTTTCTTTGAGTATCAGAACAGGAGAGCAACTTTAATTTTGTGCAAAAAAAATGTTTCGCTTTGTCACACGGGTCTCGTGTGAATTCCCAATTACATTTCCAACAGTCAATGAGTATTCGCCAATTAGCGGCGCAACGACTAATGTTTCACAAAATTTATACCATTTAATATATAGTCTATTCAAACGTCAGCTGTAGTTGCGTATGAAATGTCATATCGACAATAACTGTTTTTCCTTGATTACTTTCTGCGAGGCATGGATCCTTAGCATTAAGTGAGATGGTGAAAGTTATGACAGAGAAGAGAGAGCTAGCCTTATTTGGCGAATATGTGACAAAAGGAGACTGTGTAACTCAAAAAAAGGCCTCCTTTCTTTTGGTTACCTTGTGCGTCAGGTGTTAATCTCTCCTTTACTGCCTGGTTCCCAGATGTCTCTTTGTTCTCCGCCTTGAGCTCGTCTCTAGTCCCTCGCGTGTCCTGCCCGATTATCGAGTCGCTCACCAGAGTTTTTGCGAAGCTACTTAGAAGAAGATGTGCGTTTTGTATTTGTGTTTGGCGTCAATTCCTAATGAGGGCCGCACATAGTCCAACGAGACATTTTGAAAGCAGCCGTGAGTAATTAACAGTGTTGTCACCCGTTTTTCTGTTACATAATGAAGATATTCAGCCGATATTTTGTGAAAAGATTTACACTAATTTATAGTTTAAATGTAAAAAATGTACGGTTTACAGCTCAGTAGGTGAAAATGTGCCAACAGAACACCTTTTTTCCTAGATAGGATTTAAGAACTATAGACTGAGACAACTGCTGTAAAATTCCACAATCATCAATCGTTTGTAAATTAGCATAGAAATATCATATTGCGCCGTGATTCGGAGCCAAGGACATCTATTCAGTCTATTTAGTTCAGTCTTCGCCGGTGACCAAGGGAAACTAAGCCTACCTCTTGTTCCTCTAGACTTCTCTGATACGTTTGACAGCATCCTACTTAGATGTCTGCTCTATAAGCTTGATAGATCTGGTATCGTTGGCTCTCTTCTTAGTGAAATGGAACTTCTTAACTGACCGGTTTGCAACGAGTCGTTTTGTGGGGCTATTATTCGTCATGGTTACGAGTGAATTCACAGAATGATCTTAAACGTGGCGGTTTAAGTTGAGTTCGGAACAATGTGAAACTCTGCGAATGGGTCAGTGGAGAGCAGAACGGTTGCTACAAATGGTGAAGCACTGAAGAACTTAAAACGAAACGAACTGGATCATCCACAAGGACAAGTTGCGATTGAGAATGTTTCTCTATAACTGCTGCAAACTTTTGTAAAAATTGCCCGCGATTTACTAACCTGACAGCGGGCAATCCGTCAGGCCCGCAACACCAAACATATTCCTAAGAGATTTCATAATGTATTCTAATTTTACGATATTTTTTCTTATCCGTAGAAAAATACAATACCAGATCTTACACAATTTGTGGAGATCCTTTCAGTTTGTAGTTGTTTCCTCTTCGGGAGTTATTTCATACAGGGCCCACTCTAAAACTCCTCTTTCAGGCGTTCTTTGCATCATTTCTCTAAAGTTCGCCGGCTAGGCGTTATGAATAAAATCTCTGTTAATGAATGTATGTATTTGGGTACGTATAGTTTGCACTTTCCCTTTGGACTCCTTTAAACGCATACATTTAACCGGTGCTTATCCAGTGATTATATCGCAGTCTTTATTTTTTATAGATAAACATCTTCCATAGACTCATCTCGGCGAATTTCATATTTTCCGTCGTTGATATTTGTCATTTTATTCCCCAATTTTAATGGGTTGATTATAGGCAAGGCAGAATAAAAGCTTTTAGCTGATAACAGCCAGCGGCACGGAAGGCGCAAACTTTGAGGCGCCTTTGCGCGCAACGCGAACATTAAGAAATGAAAGTAAACTGTGGTAGTAATTAATAGATAAGACAATTGGCAAAGACAGTACAAATACAAGCCGCGCTGTTCCCGTCAGTAGGTCTGCGACAGAGAAAAACCGCCACGGGGTCCTAGGAGATGACTTTACATTGCCCACGCTCTAATTTGTCTGGACGTGAGCCGGTAAACTGGGACAAGTGCACGAAGGCTAGTAGATATTTCTCTACTGCTGTTTTTACGAGTTCCCTTCTCAGAACTAAAACGCTTTCCCAGTTAGGATATAATGAAAAAGAGGAAAAGCCACTTTCATCAAGTCAACCAGTATATCCAAGTCAAGAGAAAACTTCCCATGCTTTCTTATCGGTTTACCACCAAGCCTCGTTTTGATGTACTCGACCCAGTCTCTCTGCCCGTGTCTACTCATGTGGAACGTAGACCACTGCTTTCTATTTTAACAGGAGCGTAGGTCCTGCTTTAAACAATATTTTCCGAGAATGGCCTGGTAGCGAAGGATAGGGAGAATCGTCCCATCTTTCGAGACCTTTTTTTGACATACCACGAGAACTCTTGGGTGAATCAAAAGAGCTTCACTGCTTTATTAAGTGAATTCCTTTACACCATGATGAATCAAATTATCTAGAATCTCTAACCGAACATTTCTATATTTCCAATACCTTAAGCATTTCTTTCGCAAACCCCTTCCAAAATGCTCAAGACCTGAGAATCTATATCCTGGTTCCACGTCGGAAAAACTCGTTTGTATCACAGTTAGCATTTGACGACGCAATATTGTTTCTTTGAGTAGAGCACTTCATAGGAGACGTTCGAAGTGTCCCCAGCTGCCGCTGAACTGTTTCGTTCTCCACAGTCTCCGTCATGTTGTTTCTTGTTATGTGGTATTTGGTATCCAAACGACAAAGCCATTCTGATTTTAAACAAAACAGGTTGAGTATTTGGATTAAACACTCACTCAATCTAGATAGGAAACAGTAAAGTGAAATTTTCAAAAGCTTCGGGAGTTGTGGAATTTGCCTTTTTAAGGATCCAGGTTGCCTATGGGGGCCTATTCTGTCGGTGACGAAACACTCAGATTTTGAACAAAAAATTGTCGAATTAAAAGCAAACGTTTCAAACTGTTCCCATAATTTCAGGTTTAAGAGTTATGAGGTCAGTTTGGATAAAAGAGGATCATTGCAAAATTATTACGGACAATTCTCTAACAAAAGTGACTCATATCTAGGAATTGACAATGGCAAGGGTACAAACTTCTCGCAGATAAGAACGCTCAATGATTAGATTAAGACTTAAGATGAGAACAATTTTCTCAGGTGAACGGATTTATTACGTAAAAAGTGACATAGCTCTAACCTAAAATGTTTCCTTTACACAATGGACAGGTCCTCTTTGCCAGCAACCAACGATCCACACATTCACAATGGAACTCGTGACCACACGGCAAAGTGCGCACGAGCTGAAACAAGTTGAATTAAGGTTACAATTCCTACAAACTTTACTTTGCAATTATATCACATTTTACAGTCCATTACCCCAGCTATCTATCCATGGATGATGTTAAAGCCAAGCCAGAACTAGCAATTTTATTTTGAGTGTCTCAAAGCAATCCAAGATTGCATTGATTCACTACGATACACTATTATGATTGGTTTTAAATAGCTGCGCCCATCCTTCTCAATCCACAATTAAATTCAGAATTAAATTAAATGATGACTTGGGCACTTGCACTCTACCACACTTTAGGTCCGTTTTATGGACTTACTTTTAGTTCTGCAACCGACCCTTACGACCTAACATCAGTATGTATATTCTCCATACTGTTCTCTATATATTTCCTGAGGTTTCAACAGGGAGAATTTGTTTCACATTCGAGAGCTTTAGTTGCTGCTCATTTCCTAAATACTCGTGACCTTAATGTTTGATTCAGGGGTGATAATGTAAGGAGAAATTAGATGCTGGTCACTCTTAAGAGTCGAAGGGTTAAAGCTCTTTCGCATTATTGGCCTTTTTTCGGTTTTACTATATACAATTAACTGAGAAAACGGAATGGCTGAAAAAGTCGTTAGAAGGGAAAGAAGAGGAAGTAGCGTTTTACTGACGGTACGTCCTCGACAAGCGTCGGTCATTCTGTTTCATCGATTCTTACCTGGTTATTTTGAAACTCATCTAAACAAACAGCACACACTTCAGAATCTCTCCTCTCCTGTTCAACTTGTTTAATAGCATAACGAGACGAGTCTTTTACTCTTCTTCTGAATTTTCTTATCTTTAGTTTCGCTATGGCTTCGACTGCCTCTTGTCTTAGCATTTCCTGAAAAGATCCAATGGTAAGGAATTTTATAATTACGGTAAAAAAAAGTGATTTTTGATTGAATTTGGAGAGTAACCTTGGTTGCATTTTCTTGTTTTACTTCCTTCTTTTATTGGTTTAAAAACTTCGCGCCATCTTCTCCACCAAACCAACCAAACTGAAATAAAGTGCTCCTTTGTAAACTACGTTGTGTTTTCCTGTACTTGATGTCGATTACAAGTATCCGTCACTTCGAGTTAATTCGCATTGGTCTCTTCTGACATTCTTCTTTGTAGTTGCAGTTAATCAAAAAGCGCACTTACAAAAATTCGTGTGGATTCCTTACCTCTTTTTTGGAAATCCAATAGTTATGAAGAAACTGGCTCAGCTGAGTCTGTCAAGTCAAGCATAAAGGAAAGTTTCTTACTCTAGGCTTACTTTAGCTTTTCCCAAGTGGACTCTTCTTCTCTCATCTTGCCTTTTCAGAATATTCCTTAAAGTACATCGTCATGTAATACTTAGGTGGTCCTCTTTACAGTGGCTGCCTTGTCGCCATACTTTGTGAGATGATGCATCATTTTTTCCAATCTGCTCCGTTTTTTTTTGTGCTCATCAAACCACCCGCGTAACATTATGTCAGTGAAAATTTTTCTTTTTTCTTTATGAGAGGGAAAGCTAAAAATTCTGTGATCTACATTAACGTACCTTGAAAACTAAAAGACAGAACAGCACTGACGTAAAGAACACAACAGAGCTGGTGAATTGAGAGTTCACCTCCTAAGGACAGGAAAAAAAAAAAGATCGATGATGTTCAGTGTATTCTTTCAACTTTATCTATTTTAAATACACATTACTTAGTTCATTTACATGTTCCAAAAACTTACAAGTATTATATAAGCTAGGTTATTCTTGCACAAGTGGGATACTGTGAAACGTCCTAATATTGAAAAGGAATGTATGTGAAATTGCACAAAGCGAGAGATGTTAAGAGTTTGAAGGTAAATGACAAACTTGAAAGTATATAATGTGAAAGATGTTAATGAGACAAATGGTAATGACACTGAACACGTTACCTCTGAGCTTTTTTCAGGGTTTCCCAGGCAGACCACACCTTCCCATCCACTGGGCCGACCACAGGTAGCCCAAAGTGTTAGCGTGGAAAGTAACTAACAAGACATAAGAAATTCTATCATGGTTTAACCCTGAAATGTGTGTTGAATCTGCCAGCCAGGATTTGACAGAACTGACAAAACAGAACTGAAGATTGTTGCCTTTTGATCGCCAAGGGGAAAGCTAACGAGTATTGTGCAGCTTCATAGAGATAAATGTTGATCCTAGTCTGTGTGTGGGGAAAAGAAATTGCTTGCCATCTGCAACAATCATTGATACTTAGAGCAGTAAAAAAATAAACATAGTTTACCTATCATAAACTTATGGTCTTGAACTAACCTTTAATTCAACCACAGATGAGTTATGGGAAATCTTTGCTCTCAGATTGTGTTTTCCACTGTACATACAAGGATATAGAAGTTTTAGTACAGTTATCAAATGATCAAAGGCATATCAAAACACCATGGCACTTGCTCATCAAGTTTCAGTTGTAAGATGTTGCAAAAACCAACAATGGTATATAAAAAAAACTATTTATAATACAGCTAGATGTTTCAAATAAAGAATACTTTCCCAGAGTTTCAAGGAGTAAGGCAGGAGTTTCGTGTGGAGGATTCCACAATTAATCTCCAAGCTACTTGGAATTATAAAAGGTTGCTTTGGTTGTACAAATGATTAATTTTCATACCAAACAGGGGTGGGGAGGGAGTAAGGGGGTTTGTTTAATCCAAGAACCCTGATAAAATTATGCCTTTAAGTTTATTGCTTCCAAATTTTAGATTATATTACTGACTTGTACAAAGAAAAAAAAATGAAATATCAGTGGTTTGATTATTGGTAAACTTACTTTTTGAGAGCCTCCAATACTTTAGAAACACTTTTAGTTCCATTTACCATTATGATGGGTCTTGAAAACATTTGAGCTAAGTCAAGCTACAGTAAAAACAGAGAGTTTTAGATGCTAAATACCATGGAACTGTGTCATTCTGCTGATAACATAAACTTTACACAAGTGGAGGAAGTCTTGTGGGCTACCTTTCTGGGTAATAGTGAACAATGGTTTCCATTTTTGGCTGTCAGTAACCTGTCGGTCAACTGTTGGCCAACAGGTTACCGACACATTACCGACAGTCAGTAATGAAAACAGAGTTGGCCAACTGTTGGCCAAGTGTCAGTCGACAGTTGGCCGACAGTTGGCCAACAGTATCTTTTGGGAACTGTTCTTCACTTTTACTCCTTTCTGTTTCATTTTTGCATTTTTTGTCTTTTTTGCCAGGCTTAAAAAGTGTCAGTGACACAAATGTTTATGTTTTAACCCTCCTAACTGTCTTTCCTTCCTTGTCTGCCAATATCCTCCAATAACAAGCCTAAAGTACCATACCAAATGAAGTGAATGGTGAGTTTCAGAATCTTTTACAAATCGAAGAGAAAAACTTAAGTTACTTTGAAAACAAATATTCAACTTTCTGTGGCATTTTTCCTTCCTTTTTTTTTTATACACCAAGATACCTTTGATCCAAAGGGTTACCAAATGCATTTCAGATTACATAACACATACCTTTCTAAACACTCTGTGATTCAAAGTTATGATAATTATTGCTGAGGCACCCAGTAACATTGCTTTCTTCACCTTAAACACAACAAAGTTATGTTGAAGGCCAGAGTTTTGATGATCATGATCATTGCAATGATCCATAAAATACTTTCCATACAATCAAATGCAACCCAAACCTGTATCTACTTTTACAAAAGTAATTAAAAAGCATTCATTAATGTACTTTAGTTATGTACCTTAATCATAGAGGATATATTTATTTAATGGTAACATTGTGATATTATACTTGATTATGCTCAATAACCATAAGTAGGAGGCATAGTAGCCGTGTCTTTAGGTGTTAGTGTAGGTTCAGGGCCACCTTAATTTAATAGTCTAAGGAGGTTCAGCACTTAAAACACAGATCTTCAAAGATAACTGTGCAAGAAATTGTACCTTGATATGCATTTTGCAACTCTTAAATGAAAAGGGGTTATGAAAGGGTGTAGTGTGGTTATGGTAACTTTTTAGGGGGCAAACTGATATCAACTCTCTGGGCAATGATTGGGAATTGGCTCTACAGCATTTTTGTGGAGAAAACAGAAAATCAAAATTGTAAATCAAAGAATAAAGCTGCAAATGAGTGACATTATTTTAGGACACTTTTACCATCCTTTAAAACCTAAAAAACCAATAATAATAATAATAATAATAATAATAATAAGGAAATGATAATAAATAATAACAATATATAAGAGTTGAGCTAAGTACTGAATGACTTGTGTCTTCAGACTACTGTACAGCAAAAAGGAAAAAAAAAAATAAAACTTGACCAGGAAGTAAACAGTGAAAGATCACAATTTACCCTTTCCAAAACAGGACAGAACTTTGATCCACGAGCATTGTAATAATCCAGGACAGGAATGTGAATAACACCAATCCAGCTCTGTGTTTCATCTGTTTGAGGGCTTTGAGATTCATCTTGGTCTTGTTCAGAATCATCTGGATCACAAGCATCTATCTACACATAGTCAGTTGCACTTTTTAAAAATTAGTAGGTATTTAGTATTTATCCTGATTTATGGCTTATTCACTGTATGCTTACCTTATCTATTTAACAGTAGATTCCATGTTGCCATGCATCTGGTCAATGATAGATTACGGATAACATATTCAAAATGTGGGTTGAAAGAAAAGTGTCACATGAGGAGCAGCCAACTGTGTCAACAAGATGTTCTTGTCATATTTTGACATCCTCTGTGGTCTACTAATGAACAGACCCACTGCAACATAGAATCTATTTGATTTAATTATGTATTAAAAAAGCAGAATGTGAAATCATCTCTACATCTGCTCTCCAGTAGATCATAGGTAGGGACCAATCAAAATTCATGTGTAATTCAGCTCATCAAAAATAAACATGTGGGATTACCAATAAAGAGCGAAAAACTTCTTAGAGATCAATATGATTAAAAATATATAATAAATATTGCTGCTGGTCTTTCCCCCAAGTTTATTGCATTTCTGATTTCATTGATTTCAGGAGGGTTACCTGGGTTACAGTTAACCCTTGAAAAACTGAGGCAGATCTTTGAAAGTATATTCATTTAAAAGTTGAAAAAACCCAAGCCATTTGCTGCAAACACTTGGTTCTCCGTGGTTTCTTGATTCTCCCTGGGAAATTTAGATGAATTTGTAACCGACAACTTCATTGAAATTCGAAATATCCGAAAGATAAATGAAAGATTATTGTTGCTCACCCATAATACACCTCGTTATTGAATAAATAAGGATTTCCCATGTAAAGTTCTTTATTTCCTATCGTTTCGATCGATTACCGGCCCCGAGAATGACAAATAAATAACACCATTGAACAATGCAATTTTACATATTTTCAAAAAAAACGTCGTAATATAAAAACAACATCACTGATCTGACCCTCCCTCACAACCGTGGAACACAAAATCGTATTTCAACAATGCAAAGAGTTATCGCATCGAGTTACCTTACCTCATTTAACTCTCCTTCGACCTGTTTTATCGCGCCGATTCTGGCGAACTTTCCGACAACATTTACAAACGAGCTGTTTTGTCCGTCTTCACTTTGGCTCATCACATCAATAAACGCGTTGTCAACGTCACCCAATACAAGCACAGTGAAGCAAAGAACGTGTAGAAAACAGTTCAGGAATTTGGATAGTGAAACTCGTAGTGAAAACATTACAAACACAGCGATTACATAAGTCGAATTTAAATTCACTTACTCGCCATATTCCGGATGTTTATGTTTTCTTTTCTAAGCAGGCTCAGCATAAACCTGTCTGTCAGCGGTTTGTTATTTGCTTGAATAATTTATGAACAACGCAAGTGGACAGATGAACTATGGGCGTGGACGGGTGCGCGTGTTCGGGTTTGGACAAAATGAGGAGGAAAGTAGCGTTCTGAGAAATGTATAACAGCTTAGTAGGGCGAGCAGAATTTCTTAAGAAGTGAATACGAAAGAGTGAACGACGAAACGTCAATTTACTGATGCGTAAATATTTTGTGTGGCCATAATTAGAAAGTGTTACGAAACATTTATGACATAATTACTAAATACCTTAAGCTTTTAATCAGTGACTCGAGCTTGATTGAAGATTTCACATTTTTACTCCTTCATTCGTCACGGAACTAATGCTCTTAGCACTTGTACTTTACAGTCAAAGTTCATAAGTATTTAGCAACTACCAAAAGTTTCTTCATTTTCCTTTTACGAGATAGAACGAGGGCCAACCCTTAAGTGACTCGTGCAAAGGCGACATCTGAAGGATCAACCTTCCCAGGAAATAAGCGTCTGCTGTCTTCCATATTCACACACACAAATGGGAGAAGTGGTTAAATCTATTTTTCAGTAAATTTATTAATTGTTCATCTCAAAATATGACCTAAGAAATACTGATATTTCAATTCAATGTTATTCAGGTGAGATCCTTAATCTACAGGTAACTTAACATGTTATAAAATTATCACTTTGTTGCATTGTTGACATGAAGTGGTGTATGCTATTAAAAAATAATTAAAGCTCGAACCATAACGTAAACAATCCAAGGAAGTAAACTTTTCTTAGAATGAGCTTTCTAATTCACTTCTTGATTTGTAATCTTTAAGCGTGTTTTTTTTTTTTTTTTAATAAATTGCAATTTTACCGTGTTTTACATCCCTTGTGCATAATCTTTGAAATATTACTTACTCAAGAGTGCATTCCCCTATTGTTATTGTTTCTTCCCACATTAACTATTAACAACAAAAATAGTTAATCATTAGTAGCACTAAAATTTAACCCAATTAATACCCTCAAATATAATACTAAGTTCATTTACCACATAGTTGGTCTTTCGTCAAGGGATCCAGATTCCTTTACCTCTGTTAAAATTTCTACTTTGGCTGATTTTCTTGTTATCAGCAGAATTTTGTTCTCTCTCATTTTACTTTATAACTCTGTAAACCCTAGAGTGTTGCAATGTATGTCATAGTGGAGAGAGGTGGGTGACTGGGCAAAAAAATTACTAGTAAGGTTGGTGAGATCTCAGTAAAAAATATCAAGTCCCTAAAATCTACACTAGCCCACCCTCTAATTTGAAAGATAGAATCAAAATGTGTTCAAAAGAGAGAGAATAACATATTGTGAACTGAAGGTTTAGACAAAAGAGAGTAGCACAGGAGAAAAACAATAACAGTATTGTTTGGCACTTATAGTTACTCATAGAAAACCTTTTCTGAATCCAGCATTTCCTTCCAGGTTTTTTTTTTCATTGGACAATGTGCACAAGGTATTTCCATGGAATTAAGAGTGGCTAATCTAGGTCTGTACTTTAACTCTTTAACTACCTAGATCTGATCATTAATTCTCCCCTCTAGCTGCTACACATTTCAATGTAAATTTGTTACATGAATTTGGTGTTGGATGAGGATGACAATAGTCCATTTTACAGTTCTGTGCTTGGTCGCCAAGCCTTTGAACAAGAGTGAGGCTAAGGTTGACCTTGTTATGATAAAAACCTTGCTGCTTTTCAAATGCAAATTTCTTTGTTATCATGCTAACTAGATACTGGTCTCTATCACAACAAGATCACCTTCAGCCTCACTCCAAATCAAAGGCTTGGCAACTAACTACACAACTGTAAATTGGCCTATTTTAACCTGATAAGTTTGAGCATTCTCACTACCTGTTTGCTGTATTATGTAGGGATATTGTAAGGAGAAGTTATATGTCAATCATGTCATAGAGTTAAAGGGTTAAGGACTCTCAAAGCCAGAGTCAGCCACTGTAATATTTCCAGATGGACTGCTTGATGGACTACGTGCATTATGAAATTTCTTTATCAGTTCCATGTTGAACAAAGAATAATTTTCCTCCTGTGCACTGTTACTTTCCCTCCTTCTTGCCCTGGATAGCTGATAGGGAGAATCATCTGAGGAACTGCCAGAGGAAAAGAACATTGAGATAAGTTAAGTTTTCATGAAATACATAATATGATGGCCATCTTCTGGGACTTACTGAATACTTACAAGAAAAATGGTGTTGTCTTGCCTTAGGACATGAATTTAACTTAGAGCAAATATGTAAACCCAATTATTTGACTTATTTGACTTTTCTTGGGCATAATTATACCACGGTTACTTAGAATACATCATGTTAACTCTGTATTACCAAAAGGGAAAAAAGTCTGAATGTGAAGATGGGTAATAAAAAGTAAAAAAAATTATTCTGATCTAGGTCAAAGAGGAAAGAATAGAGACAATGAAATTGTCAGTTCTTGTTTCCAGTGGTGAAATATCTGCAGTTTTGTTGACAGTTCTTGCCCAACCCACCTTCTTGTAGCTTTTAAGCTATCTCTGGCAGCTGCAATATCCTTCTGCTCTATCACTGAAGTTTTCATTGACTGTATGCTTGCATTGTTACTGTAGAAATAAATTGAAAGGTAAACTGCAAGTAATGACTGAAGGTAGCCAACAAATTCAGGTTAATAACTTCCCAGTATGAAATCATCAAGGGTAATTAAAAAGGAACTGACATGAGAACAGTCAAGTTCATTCAGTTTTACTAGTAATATATAGCCACCTAAGACTTAACTAAGCTGAGAATTTACCCCAGACACACCCATAACAAGTCTCTCCTCAAGGAACAATTAACATCTTTCAAAAAGAAACTAAAAAAAATTAAATTTTAAAACAGCAAGAACACAAAAAGTTCATGAAACTGCCAATGCAAACAGCTTCAATCTTCCTCAAATTTTGTGCAAATATGCAGTTTGTTATCATTTTCAAAGATGGTTTATGTTTCTTTAATTCCCTCAGTTGGATTGGAATTTGGTGGTGGCTGCATTTATGCATGCAGCTAAAAGAAAAAAACCGACCATCTTTCTTATTCTATTTATAAAACATGATGCAATCTACATTACTGATCCTAGCTGTATATAGAACACATGTCATATTCACTTTGTAATGGGTATTGCTCTCCATAGAGTCTCTAAGGCTCGGTGGTAGAGCATCGAAACACAGAATCCAAAAGGCCTGAGGTTCCATTCCTCACAGGGACTCAGAATTTTTTTCTTTTACCCACGCTCATAACAAGATGAAAAAAATCTTTCTCTATTTCTTTACCTAACTTAAAACTCACTATCTTTCTAATTCTATTTATGTTAAAAGTGTAAATCATAATCCCTAAATCTGTCAAGATTTGATCAATGGGATACTTATCTTGAATTACTAAATCTAAAATTATTTTAAATTAGCACACTGAGTGATGATAACTCCTAGGTAGCCTAGTTAAAACCTAAACTTGATTTACTGGTATACCTCCCAAATGTAAGATAAATCTCATGTTCATAATATTGGACCCACTAGTTATTTGTAGACTTTTAACTACTTATAAATTCCCTTACCTATGCATATAATATGATATACAGTGTTGCATTAAAAAAAAACACTGAGTTTATTCATAAATGAAAAAATAAGCTTTATGAAGTGGAGTGCATATAGTGCACAAGGGCATAACTAGGGGAGAAGTCCTGGGGTACCTGTGACCCTTTCCCCACTTTGTAAGCCTTTTTTTATGCAAAAAATCCTCAATATTCAGGTGGTGAAAACTGGCAAATACCCTCTGTTTGACACAGTGACCCTCCTTTGAAAATTATGGTTATGCTTACTGATGCAGGTTTCAGTCAAAGTGCACATACTTGACATTATTTTCTTTCAATTCTGATGATGCAGGCTTGGTCTGCTCAGAGGCTTTGTCCCGCAGTTTTCTCCTTGGTGAGACATTCCTTATTGCCTGCAACAGTCTTCTTTCATGACTAAAAGTTCCCGAAGGTGTTTCAGGGAAATCTGATTGTTTTACCCTGTGGAGAGATTATCATGTGAAAAAGAAATTTATAAACTTGAGTCTGGTATTAAGCTCACCATTCTACTTTATTATTTTCTTTGATCTTCATTTTACTCATTGTATTGATAAATATCATATCCTTTACCCATTATAAGAAGACTGTTATATTTAACTTGAAATTCTTTGTCCTTTGCACTGTCACTGTAACTCTCTTCACAAAAACTAAGTCAAATTTATTTATTAATTATGGAAGTGACTAATGTGTAAATCCTCCTTGCATTGTCAACATTGTGCAATTCTGTAAACAGATGTGGAGAATGGGTAAACTTAGCGATAAAAAGGTGATATCTTGATGCAAATTCAAATTCTCCAGGCAAATTTTCAAAAAAAAATTAAGCTGGTAGAAAGGAGATGTTCTGATCAGATTTAATTACTTATTAAATTACCTGACAGGAATGTTTAGAGTCACTGGAGAAATCAACTCTTGTGAAGTTGTAGACTAAAATAAAAATACACAAATTATTCAGTTTTTTGTCTCACTGGTTGTAAAAAAATAAGAAGAGAACCCAGAGTTCATCCCCTTAAAAAAATACAATAAATATAATCTGACAATCTGAGTTTGTAAATGGAAGACCTGGAAAGTCACAGAACTCTACAAATAACAATATCAGTTTCAAGGCATGGGAAGTCATGGAAACTTATGATGCACCAACAAATATATATATATTTATTACATGACTGCTTCCACAGTTATTTTGGGAACAACACTTTGACTGTAGGTCATGGAAAACATCATGAACATCCAGGTTTTGTGTTTTATGGTTTTGAAAGAGCATAAGAGTTAGAAGATTCTTTGTTATATCTTTCATTACTGAGAAAAGCAAAATGTAAAATACTTTTTGCCTTACCATGTTAATGATAGGGGGAGGTGGTGGTGGTGGAGGGGGTGGAGGGGGTGGAGGTGCACTCGGTGCTGGTCTTCTTGGGGTGCTTGAGGCTATAGGATCTTTGAGTTTTCTTTTTTCTGCCAGCCTTCTAGAGAACCTGACACCTGTTTTCTTGCCATCTTAACAAAGGGTAAAGAAATTTTTTCTCATGATTTACATGTAAATAGAGAGAACCATGGCTAAGAGAATCGTGCAGGAAACTGTACATGAAATTGTAAAATTGATGAATCAATAAATTAATGATTCGTTATTCAAATAACTATACTGGATCCTATATTTTTATCATCACATGACTTGGTAATAAGTCATAGCTAAATATTGTAGCACCATCGTCATTGTTATTATCATCATATTTACTGTATCTACTTAGCTTTTACTTCTACAAACAAACGATCATCATACAATTATTCAAAAATTAATTCAAATATTCACTCATTCATTCATTTAACCAGTCATTTAATCAAAGACCCTTTACTTACTATACACGTAAAGTAAATAAAATTAGATCAATTAATGAACCCTTTGGTTCTCATAGTGACGCTTTTGATGCCATAAAATTTAATACTTATTGACTTTCATGAGCAATAATTGACGAACCTTGAGCATAGTCATAAGCGGAAGCCATTTCATGCTTTAAATTTTCGAGGTCTTCCTGACACTGTTCAGGGGGAAAGTATTTCTCCAAGTAACCATCTTGCAGTTTGTTCATCACCTTTACTTTCATGAACTGCAGCAACTTTAGATTGTCAGCTTTCTTTCGTCGCACGATCTTATAATATTCGTCCGGGTTTGAATCAAGATGATTCATCAATTCTTGCAGTGCAGCCCGCGTAGTTTTTGCTGAGTGCTGATCATATTCTTCAAGTGGAATTTTTTGGCAAAATACTACTGGTAAAGGAGATGGCTGATCGAATTCCTCAAGAATCTCGGCCATTGGAATAAAAAGAACAATTTGTAAACTACCAACGAATTTTACGATCCGCGTGTTTTGATTTCGAATAATTGCGCTCCTAACCTCGCTTCCATGCAAGTCTAACACGCAATGTTGTCTCGGTACGAACCAATCAAAACTCAGATATTTATGTTCAGACGGTACTATATGTATGCGGAAAACTTCAGAACGTATCCTTGTTCTTGTATGAGAAATAAGATATATCACGGTCTGGGAAAAGAATTCTAAGATGGCGAACGCGTCACGTCGAGAAGAACTGCAATTTAAGGTATCCATTTTAAATCGTCTTTTAAATGCTTTACAAAAGTGTGGTGGGAATTAATCGCGAATCATATGGGTTTGTTCTTTCTGACAGTTTTTCTCGCGATGAGTGGCGCTCATACATATTTATTAGCTAGAAGAATAGTTTCTATGCCCGCGCTAGCGGGGGTTTTCACGTTCAGAAAGAGAACTAAGGAATAAAATTTGAGGCTTTGAGATTAAAGAGTGACTGGACGTTACCTAATCGATACAGTAACCAGCGTGTCTGGTAAGTTGAAGTTCAAGAATTTTGAAGAGCAAGGAAAACTTCTTTGGGCGGACACCAATTTTGTTTAGCTTGCTGTTCTGTGGTGGTGCAATAACCATGCTCTTCAAGTTATCCATGTATCAAACTGTTACTATACACTCAAATGACCGCTTCTTTAGAACGAGAAATTTCAGGGAATTAAATTTTAAGTGTCTGCAATGTAAAAAAAATTACTTGATAACCTTTTTGTAGTAAACTGTTCCATCATTCAAGGGAATTGGGTTATGTTAGATATCTTGCACTGTCATGTTATTTTCCACCCTTAAGTAGATACACTCATAGTACAGGAAGGTGAGAGGAATAACTCTGGAATATTAGGCTTGAGGTCATGAAGTAGGGTTTTTAATAGTAGAGGGAACAGAGGTTTCTCATTCTTTTAGATTCATTCTTAGAAATAAACTGCAAAAATCAGTTAGATGATTGAGTTTTCATTGAGGAAAAAAGCTTATTTAAATAAGTACTACTTTCTATCTCCACACGTGCAGATTGTGGATGAAACACAACCCTTCAGAATTAAAATTCTTTTAATTGCAACTTTTGATGGGTAATGAATATTTTATTAATTTCATTATTTAGTGAGATATCTTTTTTTTGCTGATATGTTAAAATTTGTCATTACAGACCACACCATTAGAAGATGACTACACTGTTGACTGGAGCAAGAGGCTTGGTTCAGGAATCAGTGGGCCAGTTAGGTGTGTGTTGAGTAAAATATTTAAGAATAATAAAAATCGAGCAAAGATGATATTTTACCAGTCAAGAGGTCCAATCAAGTAAAATTTGGTGGCAGTAGCACTTGGGAAGTACAGTTGAACCTGTATTTAGCAGCACTGTATTAAATGGTGACCCTGTATAACTTGGTGGGTGTTCAAAGTCTTGAAATTTTTACCCCCAAATGACAGTAATTTCACCTCTTTTAAGAGTTCATCTCCATTAAGCAGTCATGGTCATTCTTTACTGAGTCCCAAAGGCCTGTTTGTATCATCCTCTACCTGTGTTGAAGAGTCTCTTAACACAGGACCACTCAAATAAAACAAAGTATAATCTTACATGTAAAATTTCATCCATATTTTCCTTTCAAAATCAATGTTGGTGGTATTTTCAACTGAAGAAATGTAAAATGGTTTCCATGCTTACATCAGGCTATGTAAACATGGAAACCATTTTACATTTCTTTTATAAAATAACTAATGAAAGAGGAACGAAAACCATGTTTACATACGCTTATGTAAAATGGTTTTATGGCCAATCAGAGCATGTGTACTATTTGAATTATTTTATAAAATATATTATACATTAATGGTCAATTATAGCACAGAATGATGTTTTTTTTTATCATATTCTTTGTAATACCTCTTGTCTGTGGAACTTATATTAAGCACTCAACCTATATTAAGCAATCACTATGTCATTCCTTGTGGGTGACGGCTGTAGTTGTATCACTACACACCTTGTAAGAGATGCCTTTAATTTTGAGACTACACCCCCAGTAATTGGTCAGGTTTCCCTGAGAGGAGCCCTTCTATACTCTTGGGTGAAGAGAGGCACTGTGAAATTAGGTGTTTGTCAAAATATGTTTAACACAGAGACCAAACAGGGCCTTGAACATGGATATTTAAATCAATGGATAAGTCTAGCATGATGAACATTAGGTAGCCACTTGTGCTGTAGGACAACAAATGAGGCACTTGAATTTACTTGGGAGTTCTATTTATGATTGGTACTCTTTGTAGTTGTATTTAAACCAGCCCCTTGTTCTGTTTGAATTTATCTTCATTTGTGGCCAGATTAGAATTCTGGTTTGCATTTTAAATGAAGATGGTTATTTGTTACAGTTCCTCTTTCTACAGTGAAATAAGACCATGTTAGATTTAATAAGATAGAAAATTAAGATACACTATTATTTTTATTCCTCCAGGTTGTGCACACATAACAAAACTGGAAAACGATTTGCCTTAAAATGTCTCATGGATTCTAAAAAAGCTAGAACAGAGGTAGTTTCCATTTTGTCTTCTGCTTTATGCAGGTCAAGCATTCAATACTGGTTTATAAAAATTGATAACTGATTGCTCTGTTAGGCTAGGGAATGGGTGAACATGCTGCAGGGTTAATGAATGGTAAAGTTTTCAGTTTATCTCTATCAAACTGTAGAAGAATGGTGCAAGCACAAGCGGAATACTTAATCATTTACTGACTGCATGGAAACGGTGATTAGGAGAAATAAGCTATTCAAGACCCTGCCAATCACCTTTAACCCTTTAATTCCCAAGATCTCATTAGTAATTCTCCTTACTGTCTGCCAAATGATTCTCATTATGTTAGTTTGGAGAATTTGGTATAGGATCAATTAATAATCCCATAATTGATATTTTTCTTTATTCTTATCACTTGTCTATATGATATTATATAGATGAAGTAAGGAGAAATTCTGTCTTGGTTACTCATGGGAGTTAAAGGGGTTAAAATGTATTGTTATCTTTCTTTAGGCCAAGGTGCACTACTTGTGCAGTGGTCATCCTCATGTTGTATCGGTAATAGATGTCTATGCTGTCAGCTTTAAATTTCCAGGAGAAATGAGACCTGTGTAAGTATGCAAGATTGGTGATCACGTGGAATAATTTGTAATTTGAATTCCTGTGTTATAGTTCTGTGGTGTGGCATCAAGAGTAATGATTGGATGGTCTTGATTGCATATAAATTTTCTTTTTGGTAGTATGCTATTGTCAATGAGTCAAAGAGCATCATCAGAAACTTACCATCTTTATTTTGGTGTAAATCCTAGTGGTGTGTAGGATGTCTGTCACTTAAATCTTGTTCAATGGCCCAGTGTTCATAAGTCTGAATTCGCTTTGCTTTAATGGTTGTTTTTATAGTTCTGCATGATTGTATAATTGTAACTAGCAGCACATGTTATCTTCTGTTTGACCTATGCCACGTTAAAGCCTTAGATATGACACCTCTCAATATAAAATCAAAAGAAACTGTGTATGCTCATCATGTGTCATTAAATGAAACACACCATGTTTTGGAAGGAACAAGATATTTATTTCCAGTGTGCTCTTCACTGACTAAGATAAGATCCTTTCCTCAGTTTTGTAATACATATTGATACTGCTTGAGGATCAGAGAGAACAAAATTAAAGTCTTTGTTCTGTTTTTCTATTTAAGTTCACTCTGTTTATTTTAGTCCTAGGATTTTGATGGTTATGGAGTTGATGGAGGGAGGTGAACTGTTTGAGCTTGTTAGAACAAAAAGACGTTTCACTGAAAATGAGGCTGTTAATTTTACCAAACAGGTAAAGTTAACTCAATTTCAGCTGCTTCTAAAGAGGTGGAATTCCTGATCATGTGTTCATGTTACCGAGTTTATATCTTACATTTTCTGTAGTCTTGTAATTTTGAAAAGATGTGAAGTCAAAGGTGAACCAAACATATTTTGTATTGTTATGATAAAAATTATGAAAGGGCAAGTATAAAGTTGAGTGTTGCCTATTGAGGACATGTATGATTGTTTTTACTTTTGTTTAGATTGCATTAGCAGTTTACCACTGTCATTCATTTAATGTAGCGCATAGAGATCTAAAACCAGAGAACTTGCTTCTTCTGGACAAGACTGAGGTAATGCTGTTGTGGGTTTACCCAACAATTTACTTTTTAAAAAAGGTTTGGTCTGAGAACTCTAATCCTTAAAAAATTACTGATATTGGTCTAAGGTAGTAATCATTTAGCAACACATGATTTTATTTAACCCTTTAAACCCTAAGAGTGACCAGCATCTAATTTCTCCTTAAAGTAATACTGCTGAATCATTCAATAAGATCATGAGAATATAGGAAATGATCGCCACCCAAGAAGCTCTGATTGTTAAACCAGTTCTCCTTGTTAGTACCAAAGGAAATTTATAGAGAAGAGTCAGGAGAATATAGATACTGATGTTAGGGTGTAAAGGGTTTAAGGGAGTGTTTACTTGTGATAACTTTTGAGCAAAAGTATTCCTTCTTCCCGAAACAAAAATCTAAATTGGGAAGATGTTCTACTGCTTGAGGCTCAGTACCAAGGGTACTGTAGTGATGAAATCAATAGCTGGAAGCTGTGAAAAGGAAGGACTCTCTAAGAGACTTTTTTGCCTGAAGAACAATATGTGTTGCTCAAAGTAGCCAAGTGTACATTTCCATTTATGCCTTTTTCTTGTGAGAGGTGGTAAATGAGATATTACTCAAAGTTTATAGTTGTGTTTTCTGTTGTTCTTTACCCAGAAAGTAGTCATCAAGCTTGCTGATTTTGGTTTTGCTAAGATTGATCGTGGAGATCTTGTTACACCACAATTTACACCCTATTATGTGTCTCCTCAGGTATTGCACTTATGCTAAATTTTAATATTTTTAATACAATTATACAAAAATGGTTGAATGTAAAATGTTATTAAGCAATAAGAAGGCTTCTCATCATTTATTTTCTTTTAATACCAATGAGTGTGTCTTTCAAAACTATAACCTTTTCAGGTTGTCTTTGGTAACACTTTTCAAAAAAATCTTGAACCTTTAAAGAGGTGCTAGCAGGAATTGCTATTAGTTTGTAAATAGTTTGTTTCACTTTAATTGATTACGAACAAAATCCTTTGAAGTGGTTGTGATTTTTACTTTCTGTAAAAAGTGAGTTTTGTGTAAAATGATTGTTTTTTAGGTTCTGGAAGCACAAAGAATTCACCGTGCTCAGAAGTCAGGGAGATTTCCATTTTTATCGAAACCTTACACATATGACAAGGTAATGTATGCTGTTTCCGGACGGGAAATCATCCTCAACAGACACATGAATGAACTGAAAAAACAGATTATACTATTACTATCATGGATATATTCTGTTTGCTCTGCAAATACTTATAGTCACTGTTGTGGAAATCATGCTATGAGTTATTTTGTTTTAGTTGAAAGCTGAAATATAGCTAGTAAAAAAGAAAATAGCCAATTGAAATGTTAGGTATTTTTCAATATCTATATCACTCATCAGCGTAATTCTTAAAACACTGTTATTCTGACAGCTTCTGCAAGCCTCCCCTCCTCCACCCACTGCCCCTATATTTCCTCGACTAACTCAGTTTCTTGCCGTTTTGTGTCTGTAGAGCTGTGACATGTGGTCATTAGGCGTTGTTATCTACATCATGTTGTGTGGATATCCACCCTTTTATTCCGAGGTACCTCGTAAGCAATTGTCGCAGGGAATGAGGCGTAGGATTATGGCTGGGGAGTATGACTACCCCGACAAGGAGTGGTCAAAGATTTCATCAGATGCAAAGGATGTCATTGCCAGGTAAATACTAGGAATTCCGTGCTTTTAGATTGAATTGTTCTATTTGAGTTACTTTGAGATCCAGACAAAAAAATATTGGGCTCGAGGCCATGACGTACGAGCCGAGCGCAGCAAGGACCGTGCGTCATGAACGAGAGCCAAATATTTTCCTTTCTGGCCCAACCAAACTCAGTCAATAAGTATTTATCCTACGGTTACTAAATCTTTAAAAACTTTGACATTATGCTTCACCCTAACTAGGATTCAATTACATACGCAAGAAAGGCGCGCGTTGGATAACTGCAGAAAATTTCAATTTTCCTTTTTTTTTTTCGATTAGTTTGAACAAGAAACCCATAATTCATCGACACAACTCGTTTTCTCAACAGTTAGCATTCACGTTCTCACCGAGAAAAGCAAAGCTGTGTGGGCGGGGCCGGAGGACTTTTTCTTAACCGGCCTAATCTAACCCGTCCGGCCCTACACACGACACCTTTCGTTATGGTTTTCATTATGGAGTACGTGAGCGGGCCTGTATGGGTTAAGTACGTGAGCGGGCCTGTACGGGTTATATGAAATTAATGACCGCTTCCTATTCCAGTCAGTCTTATTTCTATTTTGTTTTCTACAGCCTATTGCGAGTTGAACCTGCTCAGAGACTGACAGTCACAGACCTGCTTGAGCACCAGTGGCTTAATGAAGGAACTGTTTCGGATGTTCCACTTGATTCACCTTCAATTATCGTTGCAGATGAGGTTTGTCGCCTTTACAGAGTTTGAAACTGTAATTAGTCACCCATCGTGGTCCACCAGATCCACGAAATCTGATTGGTTCCTTCACGTTAGCTAATTAATTATATTATGTGCTTGAATTTCTATTGCGATTGTTGGAGAGGGCCTGGTGAAGCCAAATCTACCCAGGAGAATAAAAGGGTGCCTATGAATTGTCAGAGCTACCTGACGAAATGACGACGGTGGGGGAGAGGAAGTTACCTACGATAGACTATTGTACCATCCAGGGAGGTGAAGCAATAATTTTACTCGCTTCATGCACCGTCAACCGGACCAAGGTCTGGCTGTGTGTGTCTCTGGGTCTTTTGGTTATCCTTGGCTGTTGTGATTTTTCAGGAAGCATTTCGGGAGGCCATGAATGCGCATTCGGCTCAGCTTACGAAGATGAGGTTACCGGACCGCACAGTGGTACTGAAGGCTGTGACGAAGGCCAAGAACCCGATATTGATGAAGAGAAAGAACATGTTTAATCTCGGGTGAGAATGATCCGGCGCCCACTGATACTCGTGAACGTTGTGTCTCACGCCTTCCAAGCATTTGCTAATAATTTAGACAGTTGAAGCGGAATATAATGAGAAGAACGTTTATGTTTATAAGTGTTCCTAGTACTGTTTTGCTCCACTGCATTGTGTCTTTAGTATAGAAAAGCCGCGCCACCCTCTCAGCCAATCAGATGCAAACTTAAAACCAACCGCGACTTGTTTATTCCCGTTTTCCCGCGCTTGAGGTCGTTCCCATACATTTCCTTTCATTTCTCATTGGCTCCTTGCGGTGCTAACCTTCGTTCTGGTTTGATGTGGTGATAACCTTTGTCCCGACTTGCAATAATAGTTAGTTTGGTTGCAATTTTACAACACTCGTCGAAAGGCCCTCCATCACTAATAACTGAATAATCTTTTGTTTTTTTCTCGTTTTTTCAGTTCGCTCTTCACCAGAAACAACGGGGCATCCGCATCGTCCACAGATGTCGATCGAACAAAACACGATGCTTCTATCAAGTCCCTGAGAGACATCATAGCATTCTGTATGCTTCCTCCTCAGCCACCTGATGGCGTTACAGGTTGGTAGAGGAAATCTCATTTGAAGTGAACAAATGGCTTCTTCCCCCATGGGGGAGAGGGTGGAGATTTGTGTCGCCGCCCGCAGCAAAAAAATTGAGATGTTTCATCTTAAAGTGTATCTAGACACCACAAAATTTTTACCACCGATTTCTTTTGGCTCTCGCGACGGACTTTGCGTTGAAAGAAGGAATGCTCAGTGTTTAGGTCACAACTTTTACCCTTGTAATATAATATATATAATACATATTACCATTTGTAATTCACCACAAGTTCTGAAAGATCAAGGTCATTTGGCAGCTAAAACATAAACGTCAATCGAACCTGTAAGTCTTGCAGGCTTTTTCCCGTGATGCAGAGCCTGTCAAACAAAGATCTACCTCGCGACAGCAACTATACGCAAACGCGGATCTAGCTAAGTAGCCCTTTTTTCAACCGCTATGAGTTCTACCGACACACCGAACTACCGACACACCGAACTTTCAGAACTTGTGGTGAATTACAAATGGTAATATGTGTATTTTTTGTGCGTGTGTGTTCACTGCAAAGTCTGCACATGCGTCATATCTTAGAGCTTTCCTCTAACTTTTAGTTTTATTGGTACACAGAAACTTCCGAAGGTCCATGTCCTGAAGAAGAACTGCAAAGACTGGTTTCTCTTGCTTTAGAACAGAACCCAAAATCCCAGCGACTCAAAGAAGCTCTCGTCAAGCAGTCTTGGGATGGTACTGTTACTTCTGTTTATTTGCAGACTGTTAATGGCGATTTCAGTTGTGAATATTGTTTTCTTTGTTTTATTGCTTTTCGCAGGAGAGAAGTTCGCTGGATCAGTGGACAGGCGCATGCTAGCCAAAGACATTAGTGAAATCGTAAAGAAAATGTGACGTGTTGGAGGAACTGCTCTCAGAGTATATATAACCTCACGTATTCAGGTACTAATGAAGTCTTTGTGAAGGCGTTGAAGGATTTTCCGTTTTGGACCGTTGCCGAGAGCGAATTCGACTCTCTACACACAAAGCGGCAAAGTGAGATGATCCAATCAGAACCAGCAGAAGAGCGTAGAATGCTTTTGGCATGAGTGGGTGGATACATACACGGCCTTCGAATGGGCGCGAAAATTCGCGCGCAAAATCAAGATCCGTTTCGTTTTTGCCAGTGCCCATGATTGGTTGAGCCTTTTCTGGTCGAACCAGTGGCTCAAATACATCACCACATAAATTTATAGCTTTGAAAATTTACGAACAATTTAAAGAATTTTGCCTTATTACGTTATGTTTTACATGAAAATTCTCCTCTAATTCAGTCTAGTAGTTGGTTAGGGATCGATCAGATAACAGTTTCTCCTTACAATTTAAGGTTACTTTCTTCACATAACACAATATTCTTAGAACCAGCCAGATGAGAGAAGTGCGGTCATCAGTTGAGAGTGAAATTATTAATTATTGGATTAGCGTCTTCAATTAATTTCCATGTGATTCTTTGTGATCACTTAGATGGTTTGGTCTGAAGAAATGAATTCCCACGCTTTGATTTGCACTGCACTTGAGGGATCGGATGTTAGCTCTTCAGAATTAGAAAGGTAGGCAGACGTGTTGATAGCTAGATTCCAGCTGTAACGAGGTGTGTATTAAGCTAGACAAGGAAAGCAAGGGAAAAGATGTCGCACACATCGCTCTTGCGATGGGAAAGATCACTCTTAACAGTTTTATTCTTTGAACTCTAGAAAAGCCAAACTTTTACCGGCCCTTCGTGATATTTTTCAGACAGTGGCATCGTTTTTATAGCATCAATGCCGGCTTCTTCCGGGTGATTCCTATCATATCTTCTTTGAACGATAATGGTTATATTTATCAAACAAAGAATTTCTGTATACGTTATATATATGTATACTAAAATTATTTTTATCTTCCGAGAAAATTGGAATAGGAAATACCAAAATAAAGCGCTAATATATTTTGATGAGGTTGAAGTTTAAGACAAGCTCTCCCGTCGTTCTAGAAGTCACGGTTCTTTAACCCTCTTGAGAGTGGCTGGCTTCAAAGCTAATTTCTCCTGACAGTTTCACCCTTGAATCAAATATAAAGTTCATGAGAAGAAAGGATATGATCAGCGAGATTGCTCCAGATTGTGAAAAAAAATTCTCTTTTTCACCATCTTAGGAAATGTATACTAATTTCAGGGTGTAAGGGGGTAAATTTCTAAAGAAACTGTGGTGCTGCGTTGGTGAGAGAGTATAGCAGGTAATTTGGTGTTAACAACTGAGTTGAAAACGTAAATTAGCCACCGTAAAGGGTAAAAAAGCTGGCGTTTCGAGCGTCAGCCCTTCGTCAGAGCGATTGGATCAGGGTGTAAAGGGTTGAGAACACTTTCGATTCTTTCGTCCCTTTCAGACAATTTTCCCTTCATGGCAACTCCATTGCGTCACTTCCTTTCCTATGACTGAAACTTGATTTATCAGTAAGAATTGACTTTTAGAACCAAAACGCTTTTCTGTAATCTTACTCGGGCAGAGGTACTCTAATTATTTCTTGGTTAGAAACTCGTCTTATTTGTACAAAACAAAGCAAGGAGAAGGCACATGCTTTGACATAACCGCATTCATTGCTCGGGAAGGCAACGAAGTTCCTTTCCTTGTGTACCTTATTAGAGAGACATTCTTCCAGTAATCGCTTCCAAGTGTGTCTGAATGCATGGAGAAAAATTGTGTCTCTAATATCCTTGAGTCTATCAGTACCTTTATACCTGAGATTGGTATAAAATATGCACGATTATTGCTTTTTTTTTTCTATTTTATCACATCGATGACATTGCTCCCACAGGATAAAGTTTTCGTGACATGATGAAAAGTTCTTTTAAGCTTCCTTTATACCATTTCGGGATGTAATCCAAGTATTGGTAAAACCGATAGATTTACATCGCGACCATAACATTACAGGATTTTCCGAAACTCCCTGAAGACCGACGAAAGAGAAGAGACAGAAAAACAACGGCGGTCATACCGCACAGTCATTTATTTAATTGATGGTCAATGACCAAGCCGTCTGTTAATATAAAATTTATTTTGACAGTTCCCCCTCCCAATAGTATTAGCCCTTTAACCTTTAAGAGTGACTAGCATCTAATTTCTCCTTACAATATCACCCTTGAATCAAACATTAAGGCCACGAGAATAAAGGAAATGACCACCAACTAAGGAAGCTCTTGATTGTTAAACAAATTCTCCTTATCAATACCATAGGAAATGTATAGAAAAAAGTATGGATAAAATCCCTACTGATGTTAGGGTGTAAAGGGTTAAGAATCCAGAGCTTGTTATCAGTTTATTTTATCGATTGCCGTAGTGTGAGCACACTCCCTTGTGTAATATTGAACTCCAACGTCATTTTCACCTCTCCTGTCAAATGCATACAGCCTTCAAAATGGTATACAATACATCTCGATTCATTCATTGAATCATTGAATAATGCAGTTCAAGAGTTTTCATTGGCTTAGACATCATGGGTTATGAGCTATTATACCATGCGCACGCATGAAGACAAGTTTACCCGAAGATATCCGAGGAGTTTTACTGTAGCTGGCATCATCTATTCAAATACGTAAAAATTATTCCACTCGCGTTTGTTGGATATGAGATGATTATGGTGAACTCGGCCATACGGGCCTCGTTGGTTATCTACCATCTCATATCCGACGCGCGCTTGTGGAATAATTGTTAAATACTTTCAAAGACGATGCTAGCTACAGTTTTCAGGGCGCGCCTTTGCGGACGGTGAAGTTGATATAAGCATTCAAGTTCATTTGACAATTTTGCGGAATCTATCGAGTGCCTATCGTATTTCGAGTCGCATAGCGTTGAATTTGATCCGAAACTGACAGATATGGTGACTCTTAAAGTAAGGAAACAGCTTAAAATCACATGCAGTTCATAGATCTATTAATCCAGACCACACAGGACGTACCTCTATACCTCGTGTAGATACTGGGCATCATTAGCTAATCGTTAAATTATAACCAAGATAGCTTGACCACCACCCATCTATAAGTGAACCAGTGATGGTGATCTGAAACATTTGTAGGAAGAATTCTCAATCTTCTGGGTGGCTCCCTCATTGCATGGTGCTCGTTTGAGCTCTAAAGATTGTTCTCTGACAGAAGGCATCGTGAAGCTAACGGTCAAACCATCTTTAATTAGCTTAAGTGTAACACCATACGTCTTCAAATATAGAATATTAACGTGGTAATTGTGGTTTTCTATCAGTCGCCTTTCGTTTGAGGGAGTTAGTTACTTCTAAACGCTCCGTTATCTTTGAATTTAAGCAGGGAGATACTGGAATAAGGTCCAAAGCGACATCGAGCTACACGTCATTACCCTGTGAATCGTGCTGAATTCCACCAACTCCCGGAATCACAGAAAACTACTCGATCGATTTTCAAAAGACGTTCCGTCTCATCGTTTCAGACCTTGCGGTCAACGATTCCTTTCGAAGGTTTTTGTGGTTAAGCATATTTTGTTAACAACGGAAGCCAAACATTACTTTTTTCCGCAATTTACGCATTCTCACATAATAAAAAGGGTTTAGTGGTTGGACATATTTTGTTTGAGAAAGGAAGCGAAACAGTACTTATTCCCCAATTTAAGAATTGATGCGGTAAAGAGTTTCAATGATCAGGCATAATTTGTTTAACAACGGAAGCCACAACGCACTTATTCTGCAATTTGCCCATTCATTGATGATTAAGAAATAATTTAAAAAAACCACAACTTATACAATTGATTACTCACAAACCAGCGTACACATTTCCCCCTTCTTCTTATCACACACTTAATATCCTTTATTTCTGGCGACCAAAACTGTATCCCATCGTATTGTTTGCCGGTTGAAATCAATTTGTGCAAATTTAATTTTTTTTCAAAAGATTTATGAACCCCCCCTGACTCTAAGGGCAATTATTTCTGTTAGATCATTCGCGCATTCCTCTGTCAAAAAGCATGCTTGTTCTGTAAACAACCCTCCTTAGTTAAAACAATTCATCGGCTTCCGCGCGGGTTTTATTGAAAATAAGCAAGTTCGTTTTTATTTGCGTATGCTTTCATGATAATTGCATTCAGGGGCAGTTGTTTGCTGTTAAACTGAGATGTTTTCTAGCGTGTTTGCATGTTTTTGTTCTGACTACTCGAATTAACACCCTGTGGCTAGCACGCCACTTCTCTCATTAATATTTCAAGGGTTTTACCAAACATCACCGACTCCCACGGCTTAATATGTTTGTGAAATATTTAATTTATTGGTTGCATGAGACTTATCACGCTTTTTATTTCACATTAGTCCGATGTAAAGCTTTTTTACTTCAGGCTTACTACTAATTCAGTGAAGCATGAAGCAAAGTGATCGCATGATCACTAGATTATTTTTCCCCGTTTTAAAAGTAGATTTTCGGTGAACTGAGCTCTAGCTTCTCTTACTTCTCGTCTGGTGCGTGCGTGAATCAGTCTTCAGAAGTCAATATTTTCCTTTTTCGATCAATCAGAGAATATTGGAATGAAACTATTAATTTGGAGTGCATGATTGATCTTTTGCGCGGTGAGCTAGCATGCGTGACCTCTCTATGACCTGAAACGATTATGCCATCAACAATAAGCATTTGATGTTTATTTAGCGCTAAGCTTCGGTATGTGTACCGTCTACAGCGTCGTAATTCAACTAAAGCTGTGTTGATCCGAGAATCTATCGATGGAACTTTTTTAGATTATCACTACAATCGTCACATACGTAAAACTAGGGCATCAATGAAACAAATTTCATTTAATTCTCAAGATCATTGTTTATGTTATACGTTGAAGAACAAGTGAGAGTGATACCTTCGCTATTATCTTAGCGTCTCAACATTCATTTTGTTTCAAAAGATACCCGAAAGAATAGAAGTGTTAAACATACAAAAATATCGCAGCAAGCGCATCTTCAATGTTGACACTTGTTGTGTTAATTGCTTCTTTGCCCTTCTTAGTCTTTGACGTTCAAGTCTTAAAATATGGCAAATATCACACATGTTCCTCTAAGGGTGTAGTTGGCAACGACACAAAAAGATCAGTCTGATACGTATTGTTTTAATTGCTGACGACCTCCATGTCCTCTTCGTCGACTGTATCAGAATTTGAACTTCCAACGGAGTTCGGTACACGTTTACGAATCCTCCCATTTATTGTTTCGCTACCTAAGTCCTTAGCCTTGTGACTACTCTTGTGGCGTCCTCGATGCTGCTTGTGCTGTACTAGAGACTCCAACTGATCTGTTAAAACCGCTAACTTGTTGAAGGTAGCATGGTCGTGCTCCAGCGAAAGCATTTCTCGCTCGAGATGTAAGCTTTCGCGCAGCATCGCTGCTTCTTCTTTTAACGCGTCAATTTCGCGTTGAGACTCGCGCTCGCGCCTCTGAAAGAGCGTTTCCAGAGTGATCTTATCCGCCAGTAGTTTGTCGTATCTGTACGCCCATTCTTTAGCACCGTTGGTCTCACTGAGTGACTCGTCTTCTTGGTTGGAAGGCCTTCGTAATTGAAGTTTCCTCTCCAGCTTCGCCACTTGGTCCATCAGTGCTGTAATCTGCTCCTTGTAAAATGTTTCCTTGTTGTTGAACATCTCATCCCGACGTGATCTTTCTAACAACAACTCTTTGATTTCGGTGGACATTTGAGCGATTTTACAATCTTGCAATGCAAGCTGCTCTCTGTAAGTATTTTCCATCACGCCTGTTTCTTTCGCTTTCTCCTCTTTATCGCAAAGCTTCTTCTCCGCACTCTCAAGCTTTTGCCTCAAATCTCTCATGCAATCGTGTGTCGGGATATCATTTAGATCCAGATCTGTACCACATCCCCCCGGACACAGTAGTGTTTTCTTTTCGTATCGCCTTATATCTTTCAAAGACAGTTTTCTACCGCATTGCTCCACATTGGCATCTGTGGATTGCGGAGGGCTAATACCTGTTAGCTCTTCTGATCCATCCATGTCCGCGTTTGCTTCTATTTTAGTACAGGCCGTGTTTTTTCGGCTGACTACGAGTTGTGG